CCAGGTTGTCAATGAATGACTTTAAAATTAGACAGGCCAACAATACGATTTCTTTTTTAAGCATATCAAGATTTATTTGCCAATGGTCAGTAATCCTGGCTATATTTACATTCGCTATGCTGGTAGTTCGAGACATCAGTAGGCTAACATCCCCTCTCACAGAAAAAGAAAATGTCGTTGAAGGTCCTCAGGACCCCATATTTGAAGAGAAGTACCACAATTAGTTGCTTTTTCAATGGTACTTGCTATGAATAACAAAGCAGAGTCCCCATTTTGCAGTGCTGGAAATTTTATTCAAATATCGTGCTGCTCTAATTAATTTCTTTTAACACTGAATATTAACTACCACACTTTTGGTGCATGCAAGTTGCACTCAGCAAGGGATTAGGATCTCAGAAAGTCCTTGTTGTTCCGGTCTTAAGGACTTTACAGCAGGTTAATAGAGGCAGAGAGAAGTGTGAATTTTACATGGATTTTAATATTTTATTTTTCCCTTTCTCAGGTCTTGTGCAACATAGTCAGTGGGACTTTTTTCTTACTATTCACCATACATTTTTATGGATTAAATTACTAGGGGATAACAGTAGCTATAAAGTGTCTTGAGAGGCAGCATTAAAAAACAAACCTCATAAGTTTATCTCGAGCAATTTTAACCTGAACAGTGCATGTTAACCTCTTCACGACATGCTATGAATTTACAGTTACAAATAAATTGTCTCAAGAGAACGATTGAGTCATTCCTTCAAAATGAGTAACAAATTATAGAGTTTGTACTAAAAAAATGAAATTAGTTATAATGTAAGCTTCTCTTCAGTAAGCACTGAATTTCAGTTGCTCAGTTAAGACTGGAAAAGCCAAGTTCTCTGAACTCACTATTCTTAAGACATTTATAGCCCTGAACTGGTTAAACACGCTGCATTCAAGATTCAGTTACTAAAAAGTGAATTATAAACAATTCATGATCAATGACAGAAAATGTAGTTTAGACTTTACTCTGCTTTTATTTCAGCTCGGCTGGTTTATATTTCACACTGGATAAACCACATCCACTGTGATAGGGGAGTTCATGTCAATTTCATCTATACTTGGCTGCACACTATGCACTCTGCAAAGAACTCAGCAGCTTCCTGACTTATTTTAATGAGTAACTTGGATTTACTAGATTTGTGTATGTCAAGTTTCATTGTGAACATGAGACAAACGAAAACAAACAAATTCAAGTAACAATGGCGCTAATAAACAGACCAAAGAAACATTCAAATAAAGCTGCACCTCACACAGTGTATAAACCCAAAATAACATTCAGTACAATATTAAAAACAAATGAGGTGCGGTGTGTCTTTAAGAAGTGTACTTAGTAAAATATATAAACTTTACTTACACACAATATACATTGGTATGAGTTGACTCCACACAGAAGGTACACATGTAAAAAAAGGGGGGAAAAAACCCTAACAACCTCATAGGGCAAAATTGCACAGTAAATTGAAAAAGGTATTAAAACTTCAGAAGGGAACACTCACAAGTATAGAGCAAAGGAGCCTCAGGATATACCACTATAGACTCTGCTGTGGTAAAAAAATCCAATCTTTAATATAACACTTAAAAACAGTCACCCCCTCTTACTCTGTCACACCCCTTACAGGAGTGACAGGGTGAGAGTGGGGTGACATAGTGAGAGGGGTGACATAGTGTGTGTGTGTGTGTGTGTGTGTGTGGAGGGTGACAGGGTAAGAGGGTGGTGACATAGTGTGAGAGGGGGGGTTTGAAATGTACCTTTTTTTTGTTAGACGATTCCCTGGTGGTCACCTGCGGCAACACTACAGTCTGCAGCTCACACCTGGCAGTGCTGCAGACTGAAGGCTGGCTCTCTTCCAGGGCAGACCGAGCGGAGGGGCCTCGCACCTGGCGGTTTGCCCTTTATATATAAAAGGCAAGCTGCCGGGCCCCCTCCTGTGTTGGGTCCTTGCTCATAGACCAGGAACCTAACAGTTCAGTCTGTTTAGGGGGTCGCAAGGCCCAAGACAGCACAAGGCCATAGGCGGCTGCCTAAATCGCCTAATTAGAAAGCCGCCTCTGGTGGCACTTTACACTGCTCTTTTGCACTAGGATTGAAGCACTTTATTGTTATCTATTTATTGCACTGGTGCACATTTATTTTTGCACTTCAAGATATAATCACTTTAACAAATATAATTTATATTAAAATTTTTATATATTTTACTAAAGGAATACTATAGGGTCAGGAACACGAACATATATTCCTGACCCTATTATTATAATTATTTTATTATTTATATAGCGCCATCAGATTCCGTAGTGCTATACTAGTGTTTAACCCACCATTTAGGTGGCTTACCCCCCCCTTTAAAAGTTTAAAACTCACCTTATTTCCAGCGCCGCGTGGGTCTGCCAGTGCTGGCTCCACCCCCTTTGTGACATCATCAACATGGCAGATTTTTAGCCAATCCAATACTTTCCCATAGTGATTGGGAAAAATCGGCACGGGGGCAGGGACAAATGCCGTTTTGGCAATCAGGACTTATGAGGAAAATTCAGCGTCTCCATGCAGAACGTGGGGATGCTAAACATCAGGGCTGCTTATTCGGCAGCACTGACCCAGGAAGCACCTCCAGTGGCCATCTAAGGAGTGGCCACTTGGAGGTGTCCCTACAGGCAATGTAAACACTGCCTTTTCTCTGAAGTGAGCCTGAAGGGAACTATTATACTCACAAGAACAACTACATTAAGCTGTAGTTGTTCTGGTGACTATAGTGTCCCTTAAGTACACGTCTTACAGACACAGCGCACCTTACTTGTTTTTAATACTGAACATGAGGCAAATCTGGGTTTAGTAAATATATTTACCAAATATTATCCATATCCAAAATGATTTATTTGACACATATTGTCACTAAGATTAATTAACTTATAAAATCACCAATATATGTAGATGCAAAAAGATAAGCTGAATGTACAATAAAGAAAATGTGGTAAAGGCCCTGCTCAAATGAGCTGACAGGGTAATTCACTAAAGTGAGATCTCAAAGTGAATTTCAAATGTAAAATCAAAATGCTAAACTGGAAAAAAAAAAACCACTAAATCAGCAATGCTTTCAGCTTGACTACTCTGGCCTTAAATATATATACAATTCCTTCACTTTAAATTCTCACTTAAGTATATTACCCTGTAAGGATCACTTATACATATTGATGGGTAGCAGCATTAAAATTTGGAGAAAAAAAACAAAAGACAACAACAAAAACTGGAATGAAAAGGAACAATCTGTATAAAAAACAACAACACAGAAACAAGTTACTGACTGATCACATACCTGGGCCAACTATTAATGCCCCTCCCTGTTGTGCTGGATCGCCTTGGAAATCAAACACTGGGCTTGTTATTGCTCTGTAAATACTTTTGAAGCTTCCAGAAATTAGGTTCGATTTAACATGGGGACTTCTTGCTAGAATATCAAGACAAAATATCAAATGAAAACATGCTCAATAAAAACAAGCATTATTGTTTGCAAAATGAAATTCAAATTTTTGAAGAAACTATAGAATGAACATATAAAACATATCTCCATGAATTGCTAAAAATAAACAGGCATGATTACATACATCATCACAACAAATGAGGACCGTTTTTATTGGTTCACAAGTAAAAGAACTGCCCTCATTGAATTGAGTAGGAATGTGTGCAACTAGGCCAGAGGCAACCCCCAAACAGTAGATTGCAGAAGGAAAAAGAAGGTCCAGGCACTCTAATGCAAGCATTTCAAGTATTCAATGGTTGCCAGAATCTTATGAAAATGTGGTACCTTAATCCCTTCATAATGCAAAAAAATAATACCTATGGATAACTAAAATTAAATTTGTTTATTGCAAATGATTTGTGTTTGCAATTGCTGTGCTAACATTGTAGCTTTGGCTTTGCTGTGACCTCCATCAGCTGCATAAGCCAGCGACGAGATCTATAGAGCGCCCTGCCCAGCCCTGTACTGCTCTCACTGCAGTTCTGCAACTCCTGCTGCGTGCATATTGCTCCCGATGCTCCCACCCAGTCAGATTTTAGAAGGGAGAATTCAAAAGTGGTCTGCACACAGCCAGAGGAGCAGATCTGCACTGACAGCTCAACGGACCACCTTGGAATCCACGAATCTTCGCGAAAATGAAGAATTTACTCAAAAGGTAAGCAGGAGAGAAGCAATGGCAAAATAAAAAAAGAACCCCCCCGCTTCCCCCCAAAAAAGCACTGCACTGTGTGGGGAGACTGTACAGAGAAGCTCTGCCTCCTCCGACCACACACAGTCTAACTCCCCAACTAACCCTGTCTTACACAACACCCTACATATAATCCACTCTGTCACGCTCACCTCCCCACAGTCAACTTGTTACATTCACCCCCTACATGCAACCCCAAGTAACAATGTCACACTCATCCCCCCTACATTCACCCCATCATACTCACCCTTCACATTTACCCAATACGGTCACCCTGTCACACTCACCCACCCACATAGTTACCATGCTACAATCATCCCCACCCACACTCATCCCACAGAGTCACCATGTCACACTAAACCCAGCCCCCCAAAAGCCATTTGTTTTCAGCAGGCATAGCATGCTGTCCACAGATAACCAATGGCAGCACCCGCCCTCCCATACCCCCTGCCAGCCAATTTATGTTTTTCTTTCTTTCTTTTTTATTTATTTATTTTTGCAAGGGAGATGGCATGACAGCAAGGCTTACTCCAAAAAACAAAACACTATTTTGGTTGGAGTAATCCTGTAACTTATCAAACTCAGGATATCAACGTACCTTCCATAATTAACTGATGTCACTTTGGGTGCACGTGAATTCCACATACTACTGTGCAGTACCTGCAAGTAGTGATGTCCCGAACGGTTCGCCAAAGAGTTCGCGAACGGTTCGCCACGAACGGTTCGCCACAGACTCATCACTGAGTAAACTTTGACCCTGTACCTCACAGTCAGCAGACACATTCCAGCCAATCAGCAGCAGACCCTCCCTCCCTGACCCTCCCACCTCCTGGACAGCATCCATTTTACATTCATTGTGAAGCTGCATTCTTAGTGAGGTGGCCAGGAGGTGGGAGGGTCTGGGAGGGAGGGTCTGCTGCTGATTGGCTGGAATGTGTCTGCTGACTGTTAGGTACAGGGTCAAAGTTTACTCAATGATGAGTCCGCGGCGAACCGTTCGGCGAACCGTTCGTGACATCACTACCTGCAAGCCTTACTCCCACTAACTTTTTATAACCATCCCACATAAATATGGCAGTCTAGCAATCCCATTTGCTAGAAGAAATCTGACTGAACCTAAATTGCTCCATGACAGTACAGTGTCGGCATTATAGTATTCTCCACAAGTTAATAACTTACAATCTGCCTAAAACCTGACAGTTCCTCTTCTCAGAAATAGTAGCATTTACATTTGGCTTTTCTACCTTAAGTGCTTTGTTTTTCAAGTCATCGTGTTCAGCTAATGCTTCTCCAACAGAAGTATTGAATTCAGCGCCTCTTCATGTGAAGCAGCGAATTGGGGGCATCACTAGGATTGCCACATATGCACCATAAACCTGGTGCTGAATCACAAGTAAGATTATGGCTTTTTAGTTACTTTTATTTTTTTAGCAGGGACCCAGTAATCTATAGTAAAAAAATTAAATTTAAAAAAATAATACAATCATTAACAATAAATATATTTACTTTTAACTGTAGATTGTTCCTTTAAGATGTGAACATTGTTTTCTGGATATTGTACAATCTTGTTAAAAAAAAAAAAAAATGTAAGGTAATAAAATGTACCTGATGTAGTTGATGTTTCACCCTTCTTCATGCCGAGCGTAGAATAAATTTCTCTCTCAGGATCGACATACATTTCATGAGAATAACCCGTTAATGAACAAAAATGCTGAAAAACATACAGTAGTGATTAAAAATAATCGCACAATAATGATCTTTATTCATATAATTTTCCTGTGCTCTATTTGTATTTTCTTGCAATATTTTCCCTTGTTCTTTCTACTATTTCTTAAAGGAACACTATAGGGCCAGCAACACAAACATGTATTCCTGACCCTATAGTGTTAAAACCACCATTTAGGTGGCTTGCCCTCCATTAGCCCCTATAAAAGGTAATAAAACTTACCTTATTTTAAGCCTTGCGCAGGTCTGCCGGTGCTGGCCCCGCCTCCTTGCTGACTTCATAAGAATTTAGGAATTCAGCCAAGCCAATGCTTTCCCACAGGGAAAGCATTGGCTTGGCTGAAATTGGCAAGGAGATGGGACATTGGTGAGGCCAAACGCTAGTTTGGCCAATCAGCACCTCCTCATAGAGATGCATTAAATCAAAGTTAAGCATCTCCATGCAGAGATACACCTCCAGTGGCCATTTAAGGAGTGGCCACTGGAGGTGTCCGTAGGGGGCCATGTATACACTGTGTTTTCTCTAAAAAGGCAGTGTTTGAATGAAAATGCCTGCAGGCAATGATTATACTCAACAGAACAACTATATTGAATTCTGGCAGGGTTGACTCAGCCTTTAATCCTTCCGAGGTAGATAAAACAAGTACCATTAAATTGGGTAATAGTAACAACCCCTGGTTGTTGGGCTAAGGTAGCATCCCCAGGATGTACTTGAAAACCAGAGTAATCTGAATGCACCTTTCCTGGTTAAATACTTTGTTATTATTATTATTAAGCTGTTGTTCTGGTGACTATAGTGTCCCTTTAAATACCTGGAGGCATCTTAAGGAATACAGCTTTTCAAAAAAAGTATATATATATTTTTTTCACACTTAAAGGACCACTATTGTGCCAGGAAAACAAACTCGTTTTCCTGTCACTATAGGGTCATTAGGTCCCTCTACACTCAGGGCCCCCCTTCAGCCACTTACCTTTCTCCAGGGCTTCCTCGGCACTGGTGACCTCTCCTCCTCCTGTCGATGTCAGATCCAGATGCGCATGCATGGCAAGACCGCCCATAGGAAAGCATTACTCAATGCTTTCCTATGGACGACCAGCGTCTTCTTACTGTGATTTTCACAGTGAGAATCGCGGAAGCGCCTCTAGCAGCTCTCAGTGAGACAGCCACTAGAGGCTGGATTAACCGTCAGTGAAACATGTTTTCAGCTGCAGGGTTAAAACTAGAGGGACCTGGCACTCAGACCACTTCATTGAGTGGAAGTGGTCTAGGTGACTCAACAGTCTCTATAAGTACTGCAAAATGGGACAATCACTTATAGTTTTTGGGCTATGTTACAAAGAGTGCTTCCTGCATAATCTAGGTGACTATATCCACTATAAGCAGCTGAAAAAGTTTTTTTTTTTTTTTTTTTCCAATTCATTCAACTTCTTTAAATTCAGAGAAAACATAAAGGGACACTATAGTCACTTGAACAACTTTAGCTTAATGAAGCAGTTTTGGTGTATAGAACATGCCCCTGCAGCCTCACTGCTCAATCCTCTGCCATTTAGGAGTTAAATCCCTTTGTTTATGAACCCTAGTCACACCTCCCTGCATGTGACTTGCACAGCCTTCCATAAACACTTCCTGTAAAGAGAGCCCTATTTAGGCTTTCTTTATTGCAAGTTCTGTTTAATTAAGATTTTCTTATCCCCTGCTATGTTAATAGCTTGCTAGACCCTGCAAGAGCCTCCTCTATGTGATTAAAGTTCAATTTAGAGATTGAGATACAATTATTTAAGGTAAATTACATCTATTTGAAAGTGAAACTAGTTTTGTTTTCATGCAGGCTATGTCAATTATAGCCAGGGGAGGTGTGGCTAGGGCTGCATAAACAGAAACAAAGTGATTTAACTCCTAAATGACAGTGAATTGAGCAGTGAAACTGCAGGGGAATGATCTATACACTAAAACTGCTTTATTTAGCTAAAGTAATTAAGGTGACTATAGTGTTCCTTTAACTTTACGATACATATGCCACAGTTTATAATATCTTTCTGTTTGCACATTTGCACACTGGGATTAGCAATTTAATGACATATGAAATTTGTTAAATTTTGTATTGTCTTTTCGATTGTAATAATTGCATGCATGGAAAGTATTGGTCCTACCTTAATAAAGTTTTATAATAATATATAAAAAATTATAGTAAATATTTTACTGCTGTAATAAGTAAATACCTGAATGTGAATATAAGAGGACTGTCCGATAACAATGAGTCTGGCGTTGGCATTCTAAAAAACATAGATAAAAAAAATCATATGACAAAATTTTTTTAGTTTAAAAAAACACATGTAATATGTATTTAAAAGTTCAGTTAAAGTCTGCAGAACCATATTAAAAAAGGAAAAAATAGTGTAATCAAGTAAATTGCGTTAGTCAAAATATAATTATCAATAAATCTTACCTCCAGGAAACTTTTAGGTATCTTGGCAAGATCTTCAACATATTCTTTGCAAGTGTAACAGAGGAAATTCTGCAATGTAAACAATGTATTCAGCAGTATCCTAGCAACCTCAGATAACCCTCAACTGACTGCTCAGCACTACGGGGGAAATTCATTGCCAAAAATTAAAACAAAATATAGAATTCTAAATACTGTTATAAAAAGAGTGATATATCGAATATCAATATTTATATAAGAATGTAGGGAGGGTCAACCTACTTAAACATTATATACATAGATGGAAGACATTCAGAAATAGCAATTTTTCTTCAGTTCTGTTAGAAAAGAAATCCCATATAAATACAAGCAGCATACTTTTCGAATAAAATATAGAAGGATATACAGGGCTCAGTATAATATCACATAAATACACACACATGCATTCTTACCCGCACAAACACAATGATTGCTTTATTGTCCCTGAACAAGTCTCCAAACTCCAAGCTCCTGCCAGTCCTGTCCCTCACCAGGCAGCTTGCTGCCCTCTCCAAGTCTGGGTGGTAGAGCTGTTCAGCCAGAATCTCCTCAGCACTCCTCCCTATCTGCTGGGTGACTGGGACACTCTCTGCAGCCATACCTCCCTTCTCTCACTCTCCCTGCTCTCTCCTAAGTAAGAACAAGGCCCCTCTAAAAAAAAAAAAAAAAGTATAGTACAGTTTGTATCCAGGCTCTGCCCCAAAAGGGAGGGCCTTCCTTGGCAAACCCAGAGCATTTCCATGTGAACCAGTATCACAAACCCTTTAGGAAGATATGCAAACTGTCCTTAAACAGAACGTGTATGCTTTTCATTGTTTTGTAAACGTTAACTGCTAGTTCAGTTTGGGCGTGTTTTATCTATTTCAAGATCAACAGGGAGGAATCAAGAATAATGGACAGGAAACAAAGTTAGATGGTCTGTTAGAGGCCCTTGAAAGAGCATTTATATACTTGTAACCCTTTAGAGGTTCTAGTCTTGTTTGTTTTCTTCTGAAGTAGAAATGTCACTACTGAAATTTGAGACGTGAAAAGTGAGATTTGGGTTGTGCTTTACTTTACTAAATATAAGTAGTTTACATTTTTATTACATAATATAAGTCACATTAACCCTGCACTGCTGTATGTTTAGGCAAATGCACTTGAACAGCAGTATTGAAGGAATTCCCCAGTGCTTGCAATTCTACAGCATTTCAGACAGTACATGGCCACTCGATCATGTACACATGTGCTGTGGGGTTTTAGGTAGGCTGTCAGTTTAGCCTGTGCGGGCTCAGCAGGTCGCAAGGGCATCTGGGAGTGGTCTGCACAATGCCCTTGCGGTATATGTATTTGCGGCGGTCCATGCGGTTGGTGATCTGATTGGGGCGCAAGTCTGCGAGGACAGTGAAGGGCGGTAAACCTGACTATATAAGACACTGTGAGATTGGGCTGGGGGCCCTAAATGAAAATGTAGGGGGGGACCTATTATCCTCCCCTGCGGCCCCCACCCATGAGCGGCGGTTGGGGGCCCTATATAAAAATGGGGGGGGACCTATTGTCCCCCACGGCCCCCACCCATGAGCGGCAGGTGGGAGCCCTAAATGTTAACCCCCCGGTGACTAGGGGTCCCCAAGCCCCTAGTCACCCACCCAAAAATTTTTAAAAAAAATGAATTACCATTAACGACTCCCCTCACCCTAAAGCCAACAGTGCTCTGACAGGTAAGTCTCTAAATTTACCTGTCACAGCACTCTGATTGGTTGGCTTGAAATCCA